CTCACACGCTTGTCTTTCATTTTTATATTTTGTTTTCAAGAAGCATCAAGGGTGGGTTTAACATTAAAAGATGGATTATGCAAGCCTGGAGGCTTTGGCCAGAATCCCAGCTACTCAGTAAACTGAGGCATAAGGATCAAAAAAAGTCAAGGCCCCCATTACCCATCAGCCCATGCCCACCCCACTGCTACCCTCAACTGTGGCTGATGGCTATATCTTTTCTCTCCACCCCCCCCCCCCCCCCGTGCTGGTCGGCTTCCCAGAGGCAGCCTGATGTGCTGTCTGCCACCCTCCAGGTGAGCTTGCCCTCCCTGACCTCTCTGCAACCCCTCCTACTTGAGAGGCTAAGGGGTTTTGGGTGCACTGAACTGCCTCTGTCTCTTCAGTTTAGGTTTTTGTGTTCATTTTGTTTATCTTGTTTCTGTTTCTTGGAGGGGGAGTGGATGGTTGAGGCCTTGCTGGACTATGGAGTAAATTCAAGGCCAATCAAGGCAGTTTAACTGACCCTGTCTCAAAATAAAGGCTAAGAGGGGGCCATTGCTGAGGCTCACTCGGGGAGATCCTGTTGTTGCCAGCGTCAGGACGATGCTGTGACTACGCAGGGCATGGGGGGGTAGGCTCTGTGCCAGCTGTTGGCTGCTGCACACCCCCTGCCCTTGGTGACTGCCACCACGCTGTGGCCTCTGGGATCAGCTTTTGTGCTCATCGCCTGCAGACAGCGAAGCCGCCCCATACTCTCCATTTCCCAGCAGGGCAAGCAGCACCGGGCTGCAACCTTGGCAGCTTCATGGTGCGGGCAGCCGGTGGGTGGGCCTAGGACCGGCCCTGTTCAGTAATGACATGTTCCCAAGGGAGCTCCAGACCGCAACACTTACACATGTCCCTGTCATCAGTGCTGGGAGCACCGTAGCTTACTGGGCACGACCTTTGCAGCCTGCTGGCTAAGATGCGTACTCCACCATCTTTCTTTCCAAATTCGCGAGTCCACTTTTTAAAAATGTCTTCCCATAAGACCTGCCTTTTCTTTTTTTTCCTTTCCTTTCTTTTTAGTTCTGAAGCTACTGCATTCCCTGTGGATTCCTTTTCCGCCACCGTGTCACCCCTCAGAGCCCCCCATGGGTCTCTGCCTCCTCAGAGCTCTTAGGTGGTGGCAACGGCCACCGCCTTCGTTTTCCTCCGGGTCCTTATGTTCTAATCTTAATTGCTGATACTAACGCTCGGATCATGCATTACACTCTGCAGAATGGCCCCAGAAGCAAGCGTTACCGAGACTACAGAGTTCCAAGAGGCTGTAGTGGAGCCAGGGCCAAGGCTGGTACCTAGAGCACACAAGGGTCACTGCAGGGGTGCAGACCAGGTGTTAAAGAGCCGCTGCAGAGCAGCTGGAGGTGTGCAGGCCAGCCACAGGAGGGAGCTGACAGGAGGCGTGGCACCAGGTCTGGTGTATGCAGAGGGATGCGGCCACTTAGCGGGTGTCAGGCAGCCAGGCCCATGAGGAGCTGAAGCTCTGAGGACAGTTTGGAGTCCTCTGTCTATTGGTTCTTTCTGCACTGGGTGGTTGGATGACTGGTCAGGGAGGTCATCACAGACCACAGTGCAAAGTGTTGTCTGTCTGTCTCCCGCTATTTTTTCATATAATAGACGAATATAATATAGAGATCTCTATATTTGTATATATACATATAAATGTATATATGTATGTGTATGTGTGTATGTGTGTGTATGTGTGTTCAGGCCAGCCTTTAACTCCAGATTCTCCTACATCCATCTCCCAAGTGCTAGGGTTACAGAACTGTGCCCCTGCGCTCAGATTAAGAGGGTACTGCCCCTCCACATTGGCCTGGTATGTCCAGCAAGCCTAGGGACCTGGTTTGTACAACATGATTTTAAATATGCTCATATGTGCATATATTTCCGACCTAATTGAATATATCTACTTATAGCAAACATATTTATCAAGCTTTGTGGGCAGCAAGCCCCAATGATGCTCGTGTCTCTTCCTCCTTCCAGCCCCCCACAGCACTGGGGTTGTAAGCACATGAACAATTGTGACCTGGATTTTTACATGGGTTCTGGAGATTTGAACGCAGGTCCTCACGCTTGCACACCGAGCACTCTTACGCACTGAGCCGCCTCTCCAGCCCATCTCTTGATTGATCCTGCAATGTTTTTACCTCTGTGGGATTATGAATGGTGCTACCACTGTGAACACCACTGTGCAAGAATCTGTCTGAGACCGCTCTCTGCTTCTTAGACATGCCCCCAGAAGTAGAATCGCTGGATCGTGTGCTAGTTCTATGTTTAACTTTTTGAGGAGCTGCCAAACTCTTCCCCAAGCAAGCCCCTGTGGAGCCTTGACGGAGATGGTTTTATAATGGAATTTGGCAGTAAGCATAATTGTTGTATCTATTTTTTCATTCTCTCAGATTTACCTATTTTTCTCGGAGGGTTTCTACAAGCCCTTTTAGTTCGTTTTTCTATTATCTGTCTAATTGTAGTATGCCTGAGGGCAGTTCTGAGTTGAGAATCTATTAATTGATTAACCTGTACTAGCAGCAGGGTTGGGGAGTACCGGTTCGTTCTCTAAATCCTCTTGAGCCGTACCATGGGGCTGACGAAAATTGCTCTCAGCTACACATTTGTGGAGCCTTCATCACCCACTTCACCTTCAACCCAGCTCCACCCAGTATGCTCCCCTCCCCCGGCAGGAGCTTCTCCAGACCCTGCCTCCTGGATGCCACGGAGCTGGGATTGTGGTGGTGCTGGAAGCCATCACAGGGTCTGGAACAAGACTAACATGGAGCCTTCAGGGCCCTCCCTGATATTTTCCTTATGAATATAGAATATATTCAGAGAAACACACAGAGGCTAGAAATGTGGCCTTCACGGGGCTCCAGGCGAGAGTACTTGCCTAGCATGGGCAAGATCCTAGGTTCAGTCTCTAACACCACAAATAAACAGGTAGTCCATGTAAAGTGAGCAGTTCAGTGAGTACTTGTAGAGCAAACACCCTTGTTACCCCCACCAGGTTAAGGAGAACACTGTCCGGACTCTTCCTCCACCCTGGGGAACCGTGACCAATGCTGACCCCTCCTCCCCTCCCCTCTGGTGCAGGAGGATGGAGCGCCACAGAAACTACCCTGCAGCTACTCTGACTGCGGACCTGGGCTGTTTTAGTTACCCGTCTGGATGATCTGGTTATGGTAGCTTACGCATACCAATCCTGCATCACAGTGGCTTCAAATACCTTTCCCATAGCAACAGAAATGGACCGCTTTACCCACAGGCGATGCTGTGTCCAGATCCTTAACTGGCCACTGAAAACCACACGGCAGTTCCACAGGCCTCCTGTCTCCACCCACTCAGGCCCTGGTTATAATTTCATCTCAAGCTACTCCACAGGAGCCCAAAGGAAACAGCCGATAGTGCCTCGCTTGCCACGCAGCCAAGTTTAGCTTCTCAGCTTGCTGGTAAGCGGAGGTGTGCACCTGCGGTCAAAGGTGGTCAAACTGGTGGAAATTGTCATGGATAAGAGCAATCTGAATGGTTCAGCCTACAGAAAAGGCCCAGAGGAACAGTTTTTAATAGTAATAACACTATAGCCAGAATTGTAGCATCAGGACAATAGAGTACATTGGTCCTCAGCTGAGCCGGATCTCTCTGATGGCCTCAGCCTCTGACACATACAGAGTTTTGTCATAACTGGTGGCAGCACACTCCAGATAAGGAGTTCCGCTCCCCTGAGCATCCCTTAGGCTTCCAGAAACAACCCAGGAACCAGGAGTGCAAGAGGCACTTGGTTTACATGCAGAGGCTCCTAAAGCCTTTCACAAGGCTGCTCAAAGCTGGGGCCAAACTTCCTATCTTCTCCTGATGCTCCAGAGAGGCGAGGCTGCGTCTGACTGATGCTGAGAGCTCGCATGTATCCTCCCTAGGCCCTAAGCTCCCAGTGACCCCAGTTTTCCTGGATTCCCCTCCTTAACTAAGACCCTGATGTGATTCCCCCCATCCCTGCTTACTTACATCCCCTATCTCCAGCTCCCATCCCTAGAACTGGCCCACAGCAATCCCTCCATCATCTACCCGCTGAACTCTGCTGGGAGGAGAAAGCTGTTCTTATATCGCCTTCCTAAGCAGGACTGTATTGCAAACTGCATCCTTCTAAAGCATGACTGAACTCCAAAGCCGGAAGCTGCCTGCTCCAGCTTGATTGCAGGGCTGTGCTTGGGGCATGCATGCTGGTTCAAATAAATGTGGCTCAGCTACCTGCTCTCTCTCTCCCTCTACCCAGGTGCTGGGAGGTGGGAGGAAAGGAAGGGGTGCCTCTGTGTTCCTGTTCTGGCCCTGCTCTGTGGGGGCGGAGCAAGCTGGTTCAGGCTCAGCTCTGCAGCAGCACCAGCTGGTGAGATCTTTCTCTACCCCCACGGCACCTCCTCCTCTCACCTAAAATGGGAGGAGAGGGGGAGGAAGGGCTGATTTTCCTCCTGGGTTGAATTTATCCCAACTACTTGCAGACCGGCTTGCGGAAGCTGGGAGAAGATAAACAAAGAAGGCTTGTTGGAATCTTTCAGAGTTCTCTGGGTGCTTCTCAGCCCCCTCGGTTTTTCTTCCTACCTTCCTGGGGGAAGAGCTGTGCCTGACCCCTGCCGCTCAGAGTACAGCCTGCCTTTTTTCGAGCTGCCTGAGACCTCGCTAAGATGAGGTTCAGTTTGATAGGTGCCTGTCATTCTAAGGTTCTCAAGCAGGCCTTCGCTGAAGAGGTGCTAGCTCTCTGTTAGGTTTTAGACATGCTGGTTCAGGAAGACACCAGGACAGATTATTGGTGACAAGGACTTTGTTTGTTAATACCATGGACAGAGAGGTGGAGGTGGGGTATCACATGGCAGAACCTCAGAGGGAGAGTTGAGTACCAGAGAGGTGCAGCGTGATTTAGTCTCTGAAGAGAATCAGAGCCATGATAAAAGAAGAGGGAGCTTTTGAGGATGGAGGAGGTTCGCAACATGAGCCCGCAGCCAGATTTCCTGAATCCAAGGCAGGAGGCAGGAAAAAGGATGGAGAACAGGATGCAGCACCATTTGATGCATGCCCACTTCCTAGGTGAGATGTCAGGACTCCCTAGTCTCGGGACTCACAGTGTTCCAGTAGGGTACCTGCCAAAGCAAGGTGGAAAAGGCCCTGGCTAACATACAGCAAACATACATTCTTAGACCCGCAGCCTGCTCCTAAGCTTTCTTTAGAGCAACGGCATGTCTGCTTGCATCTTGCATCTTCTGTTTCCCTTTCCCCGTGGAGGTTTGCAGGAGAGAAACACAGATGGCAACAGCCTGGAGGGAGTAAGGGGAGTGGAGAGCTCAGACGTTCACCATGTAGCACACTAGGCTTGGACCAAGAAACAGGGTACAGTCCAGAAAGGGAAATCTTGGGAGGTGGAGACCTTGTCCAACCTTCACTGTAGCCTCCTCGACAATAAACCGTTGGATATTTTCCAATGGAAGGCGGTAGAAGCTGTTGGGGAGCAGACTCAGATCATGAGGACTTGCAGCAAGGTGTCCTGGGTAAATAGCCCCTAACCATAAAGAACGGGTTAGCCCCAGCCTAACCATTCTGCTCCAGTTACAGAAACAGTATTCCCAAGTATCTAAAACAACCTACCTTGCTCCCAGTTGAACAACACACACACACACGCATTCACATACATGTGCACGCATGCACACAAAGCTGCAACTTCCTGGTAGCTACCTATACATACATACATGTCCCCACGTTTCTCCAAATGCACTTGGCTTTTGGCTTGGAGCGTGTTTATTGCCTTGCTGTGCGGCACAGGGCACTGAGGGTCCCCTGGTTTTGAATGAAGAGACATAGGTGTGGCATGGCAGGACCAGGAGGGCCCCACAAAGAGCAGTCAACAGTGATGTGTTCACACTGGCCTGGGATTCTGAAGTGACTGTGCCTCCCAGAGGCCGAGGCCTGAGGCTCACGCTCCAGGCTTCCCTGTGACTCCCCACAGGCCTCACCTTACATCCACCTCATCCACCTCACAGAGCTCTTTCCTGCTGACACCGGCGGGTCCTGCTGCTTACCGCTCACTTCCAAAGACGCTGTGCTCTGGTGACCCTACCCACTGCTGCCCTGCTCTTCTTTTTCTTCTTTTTCTGAGAAAGGGCGTCGCTGTGCAGTCTGGTCTGGCCTCAGCCTCCCGGGTGCTGTGATGACAGCCTGAATTCATCACACAAGTCCACCACACTTCTTTCCAAATGCTCTATGCCTGTCCAAAGCCAGAGGCACCAACCACACTTAGACCATCTGAAGCATCAGCTGTTAAGCTAAAAGGGTCTGAGGCCCGGGTTTGATGGGGAGGGAGAGGGTGTAAAACACCAGGTCTCTCACAGGCCCCTGCCACCCACTACCCCACCAGAGCAGCAGCAAGGGTTAGCATGCTACGTGGGTAGCTGAAGACACTGAAGACAGGGCCACCAATCAGAGTAAAGCTCTGGGTCAAGAGAAGGTCCTGTACCCACAAGCCCTCTGAATGGCTCTGGGCATTGTGATTCAAGCCTAAGTGTTCTACTTTGACAGTTGCTTCTGAATGGGGCTTTTGTTACCATAAGCCAGGTCCCAGTGAGCACTGCAGTTCCCTCAGCATTGTGCTCCATGTCACTGTGACTGATGGTCACCACTGCCCCTTGATATTGGCCAGTCAAAACCCGGTGCTGTTTCCTTCCGCCTTTGCCCTTTTCAGTGACATTTATCCCTGTGCCCAGCCTGTTAGGGTCTTCTGTCAGTGTTAATAGTTCAAACCAAGGCAGGGTGGACCAGAACATCCTTTTAAGCCTCAGGAGAGTCACCAAGAAGGATTCCTTGGTCTTTGAGAGGACAGTCATATAAGATGTCAGATCAGTCATAACTCATGGAGCCCTGTGGGAGACACTGAGCAACTCTGCTGGAATTAAGGCCTGAGCAAGTTATTTTATTTTATTTTATTTATTTATTTAATGGTCTTGAATAAAACAGAGATACTCATAGGCCTTGAGTACACAGGAGCTGGTCTCTGATCATTGATGCTCGGAACCTTGTAATTGACCCTAAGAGCACACAGCCCCTGGTGTCCCCAGAAGCCCCTTCCTGATGCCATCCACATGTGCCACCCTTCCATGGGTCTGATCAGCTGTAGAACGTGGTATTCCCATGTTCCCAGAATGCATCTGAGTTAGCTCTGTGGCTAATTGGGTTTGTATCAGTGACATCAGAAAAGGGTTGTGTAGCCAACTATGTTCTTCTGGATCACACAGGAAGAGGTTGTCCTGTCAAAGCCCAGGCTGGTCTCTACCGTAATGAGGTGCCCCAGACAAAGGCACGAAGGGACATTATTGTCCTGGAGTTCCTGTCTTTAGTGGCTTCTGTTCAACGAGAAGCTGAGCTCGGTCTGGGTGCAGGAGCTGGCTCTCCACTGCACCCTTTGACGTTCAGGGTGATCAGGTGCGTTAGAGCCAATTTCCAAGGAGATGAAATATGGAGGCTCTCTTCCCGCCGTCTCGTGACCAGGGGCTCCCTTTAGCTGCACCAAAGCCAGGAAACGGCCCCTTACAGAGCCAGTGCCAGCCCCCACGGCTTCCATAACCCTAGCCACACGGAATACACCTGGAGGGAGAAAACCAGAACCCTTCCACATGGGTGTTCCCCACCCCACTCTGGTCCAGAACAAATCGTTCCTCAAATGTTTCAACATCCTGAGTGTGGGTGGGAGTGACACTTACTTCTGTCTTCCGGAAGCCGCGGTCTGTTTATAGAAAAATCAGCAAGTTAAATGGCTGACTTGGGGAAAGGCTCTCGGCCACTCAGAACACACAAGAGTCCTTGGATTTTCTCTCCCCCAGTCCCTGACCCCTGATCCCTGGCCCTGCCTTGGGTCCTGGTGGGTCAACTGTCACTTTTTCAGTATGCTAGAATTTTTCCAAACCTCTGACCAAAGCCCTGGAGTAATTTCCTTTATCCAGTTTCACATTCTTTGCTCAGCTGTGGCCAGACTGGGAGGAAGTGCGCTCCCTCTGGTGGGTAGCTGTCATGGGGGTGACCATCTGAAGGAACAAGCAGCAGTGGACTTGAACTGGCCTGTGGTCAGTCTGTGGTGAGAAAGGAGGCTCTCCCAAGCCAGGCAGTGCTCAGCATGAGCTGTGCCAGCCCAGTTGCCAGCCTGAGGGTGCCCTACCCTACCCTACCCTGCCCTGTCCTGCCCTGCCCTACCCCACCCTACTTTACCCCACCCTACCTTACCCTACCCTATCCCACCCTTCCCTACGCCACCCCACCCTACCCTACCCTACCCTTCCCTCCGTTTGCCTCAGGATCCCAAGGACTCCCTGTTAAAGCGAAGTGGTCCAGCCACTCCCAACATGGGAACAGGAACTGAACATTTCCTGCCTTTTATCTTCTGGGTGTTGGGGACAAATATGTCTAAATGACCAAACCAGAGCCCTACCACGGGGCAAGGGCCAGAGCTGTGGCTTTGGTGTACTGAGAGGTCTCCAGAAAAGCGGTGCAGGCAGCCTTTGCAGATGGGAGGGGGTGCGGGGGACCAGGCACCACTTGCTCACCCCAGGTCAGTTCTCCTACACAGGCAGAGCACACAGCCTGTATGGGGACACCCACTGCAGTTGTCACCAGATTCCTCCCTGGGGATTCTGGGAAAACTTCACTGTGGAATTTTATCGGTAGCTGGTGAGCATCAGGCCCACCCTAGGCTGTTGCACGAACGGAGCTGCGGAAAGGAGCCCAGCCTTGAAAAGGCAGCTGGGGAACACAGTCGCAGACCATGAACGCACCGGCAACTTTAAGACGACGGAAATGATTTTGTCACAAATCAAACACGTCAGAACTGAGGTCCCCAAACAGGTGTCCCAGGGGTTCCCCCCCCCCCTGGGAGTGGCAAAGACACAGGTCTGTTTGCATTTATTCTGGTCTAATCCAGAGGAAAGAATTGCGTTGATAGACAATTGCCAAGCTCTGATTGCCTGGCCGAATTTTCTCCTTAATCATGCTTGTCTCTTTCCTCTCTGCTGCCCCGCCGTACCCAGCTGGTACCCACCCTCCAGTCCTTTTCTGCCTCTCATCTCAAGGATCTGGGTAGTGATGACACCAGGGGACACCCTTGCATTCTTGCAGCAATCTCTCAATCTCCCAGCCTGCTTCCTAGGTCTCCATTTGACTGCTTCCATCCACAGACTTCCTTCTGACTTCCTTGGCTTAGCTCTTAGGCAGCGTGATTGCCCTTCCCAAACCCTAGGGCGGGAGGCAGGTGGCCTGCTTCCTCAGTTTCCATGTCTGTGGGCCAAGTGCCCTCTACACATGGATGTGTGCCACTGAGGATGTTGGCCACAGTCACCTCTGAGAATACATCCTCATGCGGCTGTTCTAAGAAACAACAAGATCTTAAGTAACATGCTAATAGCCTTCGGAGGGTCAGTGACCCCTCAGAGGCTACCCTTCTAACCTGCCACATGCTGCCCCTGGAAGCAAACAGTCTCCAGACAATTGCATTTTAAGAAGCAGGGCTTGAAGCACTCTGAGCAGGACAGGCGCATCATCCTTCTTACAGAATTAATGCCTGTTAGTTAGGTCTGGAAGCAGTCTGGCTGGAAGCAAAGACTATCACAGCCAAATCTCCCATTTGTGACTTCTCTGGCACTTTATTGCCCACCCAAAAGCCTCCTAAAATGTCCCTTGTGTCTATCTGGGCTCCCAATATTCTGAGGAAGAAGCTGAGGCAGGGGCCCTGTAGGCTGGTTTTTCTCTTTCTTTGTTGTCTTTTGTTCTAATCTTCTTATTGCATTTATCTGTGTGTGCATGCACAGGGTGTGTGTGTGTGTGTGTGTGTGTGTGTGTGTGTGTGTGTGTGAGTGTGTGCATATGCCACGGTGTGTAGCAGTCAGAGGACAGCTTGGGAAAGCTCTTTCTCCTTCCACCATGTGGGTCCTGGGGATGGAACTCATGTAGATCAGCTTGGCAGCAGGTATCTTTGTCAGCCGATCCATCATCCTGGTCCACTGTGTGCTGTTTTAAGAGCCATTGCAATGCAGCTTGGAAGTCAATCCCCAGAA